ATCGTAGGTATACAATATGTTTCATCATTTCAGATGAAAACACCATAGCACCTACAAATAAAACACAAAAATTAAGTAGAGAAGAAATTTTGCAAAAAAAAAGGGAGGCCGAAAAGGCCCGGCTGAGTAGAATAAGAAATGACCCTGTTAAATTAGCGGAATATAAGGAAAAAGAACGCTTAAGATATTTAAAAAAAAAAAGAAAAGGGGCAAAGAAAAAGTATAAAAGATATGACACCGCGGGAACAACGTATAACTAGAAAACTGGAAAGGGTATGCTAAAGATTACCGACGGAAACAATTGTTAAACCGGAATATGGATGATTTTATCCGGCAGAACTCACCGCCATCCACCGGCGATGAAACTGAAGACCTTGCAATACATGTTAACAGACCTGCAGCTGATTGCATTGAAAATCAAAGAGCCCTAAAAGCCAAAAGAAGAAGCTTAAGGCAACGAAAACGCAGAAACAAGCAAATAAAAAAAATGAATGATATTATTGCAAAGCTTAAAACTAAACTAAACAGTCAACGTCAGAAGTACAAGCGTGTCAAACAACAGTTGAAAAAAGTAGTTAAATCCGCAGAAAAAACACCTAAAACTAGAATCGAAGCAATGAGTGAAGATGTGACGAAAAAGCGAGAATTAGTAAAAAAAGCTCTTTTTGGAGAAGTCATGAAAATGCAACTAGAAGAAAACTTTGCAAAAACTAGGAACTATAAAGATAAAGCGGAATTCAGAAAAGTTATATCTGGAAAAGTGGTGGATAAGTATAAAATATGGACAATTAAAAATAAAGCAGTGACATATAAAAAAACAAGACCTCAGCTTGACAAGAAAAAAAGAAACCGGAAATTGACAATGCAAAGTTTAGTTCAAGAATTCTTTGAAGACGATGCTAACAGCCGCCTTGCAGCCGGAAAAAAAGAGTTTATTACAAGAAAACAAGTCAAAAAACAAAAGCGATACCTGAACGATAGTCTGTTGAAATTACACAGAAAGTTTTTGAAAACTACGCCCTTAATAATCAGCTATTCTTTATTTTCTCGACTACGACCATTTTGGGTCGTACCGCCGACGCTGTCAAATCGAGAAACCTGTACTTGCACATATCATGAAAACATGGACCTGAAGATTGCCGCTCTCAGAACTGCAAATATACTAGCAGTACACAATCATCAAAGTTTGCTGGACGAACTTTGTTGCAATCGTTACGCTGAAAGATGTCTTCAAAGAATATGTGATGACTGTGGCCAAAGAAGCTTAACTTACAAAGAGTACGATAACTCGAAATCAATTGTATTAAAACAATGGGTAAGCAAGAAAGAGCCCATTATGGATATAAAGACAAAGAAAGAAAGATTTGTTACCAAGTGTAAGATAGAATCACAGGAAGTTAAACCCGAAGAACTTATCGCAATAATTGAAAGGGATATCGTGAAATTTTTCCAACACGAGTTTAACATAATTCATCAGTACAGTGCAATCAAACACCTGAAAAAGTCGCTAACTGAAAACGATGCCTTAGTACATATGGACTTTTCGGAGAACTTTTGTACAAAATACAATCAAGAAATCCAAACATTCCATTTCGGCGGTTCCCGTACTCAAATCTCACTGCACACTGTCGTCGTATACCTAAAGGATTCTGTTACTTCACATTGTACTATAGCATCTAATTTATCTCATAATGTCGGCGCAATTTGGGCTCATCTTAAGCCAATCTTAACAGCATTGCCTCCAAATATCCAGCACATCCATTTTCTAAGTGATGGACCAGTCACTCAGTATAGGAATAGATCGATGTTTTATATGCTGGGCTGTGAACTAACAAAGCGGTATCCCAATATAATAACTTTTACTTGGAACTACCACGAGGCCGGTCACGGAAAAGGCGCACCCGATGGTGTAGGAGCAACGTGCAAGCGGACGGCTGATCAAGTTATTGCAAGAGGAGGGAATGTAACAGATCTTAAAGACTTTGCTGCTGTTGTTCGTGAAAGATGTCCGTCCATACAAGTGAATGTAATCGATGAATGTGAAATAGACAGCATGAATGCTTTGATTGAGACAAACTCTCACAAATCGGTCGCATTTAAAGGGACGCTTTCAGTGCATCAGGTGACCGGCTCTGCGTTTTTACCCAATCAGCTTGTAATGAAATCGCTAAGTTGTTTTTGCGACTCGCAAGTTTGTGAACATTTCAAACTGGGATCTGTTAAATACAAGTCTGACGTTATTGACACGCCTTTGAATATTTCAGCCATTTTTACGGATTCCGAAGATGACGATTTGCCCCTTTCCACATTTTTGCGAAGCAAGGAGATGAATGAGAAACCTGGAATTAGTGACATCCTTAAGGCTCAACTGCATACTTCTTACAATCAAGGAGATTACGTCTTAGTTAAATATGCTACTCCAAAAACAGAATACCGTTATGCTGGAATCTGCTCTTATGTTGATGAGGAAGAGGGAGAGTTAAGAGTCACATTTCTCAAACTCGCCAATACTGCCGGTACTCTGTTCAAACTGGACGAAAATGACATTTCGGATGTGTCAGTAGAGCAAGTAATAAAAAAACTTCCTGTACCAAGCCTTATAATGAAAGGAAAACGGGTATTTTACAAATTCAATGAAGAAATTGATGTTTTTGAAAAGTGATTATTTTTTTGTTAAAGAATGAAGAGTTATTTTATTACTAAAAGTTTTTGTTAAATGATTCATAAGTTCATAACTATTAATAATTATACTGTCTATTACTAAGGAAACTTACTCAGTATTAAATACGTTTTCAGTAAGACTGATTTGAAGACTGGTTAAAGATTACGTATAGTATCTAAGCAAGAAACGTGAATTTAGTTACATGTACACTAAGTACTTAATAAGTTTTAATGTCATTCATTAGTTATGTGCCATTATAAAAAATTAGTTTGGTATTAAATATATCTGAAATTTTCTATGAATTGTGTGTTTTAATCAGTTCCGTGGTAACCTCGTCAGTTCCCTGGCATTCAAATTTACAAAAATTGAGATATCTCAAAAACTAATTGATAAAGTGACTGGCCTGATTCATAATCGTATCAATGATTATCTTACCTACGTCCTAATAATAAAAAACTATTTACTTTTCATCAAAAACTTTAAAAGCAAAATGAGGGTAAAATTTGTCCAACTTTTGTAGAAGCACCCATGTATTTTATGGGGGTTTTTCGCAAAACGTCCACTTTGCAAAATGTCTCCCGGTCGCAAAATGTCTCTTTCTCATAATGTCTCTTTCGCAGAATGTCTCTTTCGCAAAATGTCGTGATTAGGACTTAGAATAAAATCACGATCTTTTAAGATAATCATTTATTAAGATTAGACAAAAGATATATACTAAGACAAAAAATACAAAAAACTACTACGACAATTTGATCGCCAGGAATTGACGCTACCGCAATTAACAAAAAAAATAAAATTTTATAAATGTATAAATAGGTTCAATTTTACTAGCATGATGTTTTTTTTATAGCCTTTTTTAATTTTTATTTGTTTGTTTCATCATGTAAAAGTCTCAATTATCTACATTGTGTTTATGGGTGATTTTTTGTAATTCATTTAAATAAGAAGCAAGGGTTAATTATTCCATACAATGTAACAATCAAAAAACAATTATTCATCCTTCAATCAATAAAGAAAGATTTTTTTTGCCTTTGAATGTGATTATCTATATATCTATCTATATATCTATAATATATAAAGCTCAATTACCACTGACTGACTGACTCACTCACTCACTCCATGCTTTTTTCGGGTAGAAGGAGGGGGAAAATGACGTTTTCATGTATGGAGACTGACTATATTTTTTTAATTCGAGTTGAAATACCATATCTGTACAGCCAAAAAACAAAATGGCGGCGAGATAATTTTTTTAGTTTCTACATTATTCACTCTACGGTTACGATATTCAAAATGGTCGTAGATTTGGCTAAAAAAATGGCAATGCAAAAGGGTTTGATTAAAAAAACAAAATGGCGGCCGAGATATTTCACCTGGAAATTTGGCATTTTTCGACCTCTGTTCGGGCGGATGTCGTTTCTTTTGTGGTGGGTTCGGAGGGGGAATTTTTACGCTGGCGACTCGGAAGTATAGTCGATTTTCACGTATGGGGAGTTTTCATTTGCGCTTCAACATGGCGGCGGCGGTGGCGGCCATTTTGTTTCGGCAATGAAAAATCGCCATTTTCCAGTGAGATTTTCTGCAAGATGGCGGCGTCGGACGGATTCGTGTCGTATGGGGCGGTCGTGGGGCTCGCTGCTAACTTTTTAAGTTGGTAATAATTTCTACCATTTTCGTGGTAGTTTATGAGATTTTGGGAGAAAAGTGAAATTTCGAAATACGCCCTTTTCGCGGAAAACAGACTCGATGCGGTGTGGCGCCGGGGGAGCCCTATGACTTTTGGTAGTTTTCGTTTCCGCGAGCTGACAACCCTGGCCTGCACGGTAGAAAACATTTTTTTCGACATGCCCTCATAACCCGAATTGTTTGGGAACCTGGGTGGCCAGCGGAGAAAATCTGTGAATGAGGTGTCGCGCCAAATATAGTCGTGACTATGGGAAAATTATGAAATTCGGGAAAATCAATATGGCAGCGCCGGCAGCGGCCATTTTGTGATTTTTTCACTTTTTCGAAAAATTCAAACGCACTTTTAGCACACATGGCAACATCGGAGCTCTTCGCCTGGTATGGACTGGTCGTGAGTCTCCGCTGGCTCTTTCGAATGACGTGAAATTTTTCCCCGATTTTAGGGTAATTTCGGAGATTTACCCCAAAAAGATGAAAAGTAGAAGGAGCCGTTTCAGGATTTCAAAAATGCATTTCCTCGACAGAAGGCACTCTCCGAAAAGACATTTGGCTATTTTCATCGTCGTCACCTGGCAACCCTGGTGGTAGCGACGATTTGAAAAATTTCACCCATTTTTTACTTTGCCAACTCTAGCGCAGACGGTATTGCCACTAGGAAAATGGTAAAAACTGCATCGGATGCGCTATCGAGTTGGCCACACCGGTACGGAGCCGGATTTTCAAAATTCAAGATGGCGGCCAAACCAGCGGCCGTTTTATCCGGAAAATTGGATATCGTCACCACATCGAGCCGATTTTGACGCACTTACCGACATTTGTCAGAGTACTTCCGGGGAAACATTTTTTAGGCAAGTAACTATAGTGTTGTTAGGTGAAAAAAAATCTCGAAAATTTTTTATACTTTATGAGATTTTTGAGGAAACAATTTTTGTCGAAATTTTGATTTTTTTTGATGCAAATATTTTAATTTTAACTTTACAAGATACCCGATGGAAAAAATAGAACGATCGACTGGCAACACTGAGAGCAAACAACGTTTAAAATTCAACCTCGATTTTGACCGACTTGGCAACCCCGCAGGTATTTGGCATGTATGGAGCGATTGTGCATCTCTATAGACTCTTTCGCATGGGGGGAAAAAAATTACCCTATTTTAGGGTAGTTTTTGAGACTTACCCCAAAAATTGTAAATGTCAAAGGAACAATTTTAGAACTTGGAGGGAGCATCCCGAAATGACATTTGACTATTTTTATCGCCTATACCTGGCAACCCTGGCAGCTACGGTGGTATGAACATTTAATGTCCACTATTCACGTTTTGGACTCTAGCGCAGTCACTATAGCCGCTAGGAAAAATTTAAAAACTGCGTTGGATGCGCCAATAAAAGGGCTACATAGTTCTGAGGTTGAAATTTCAAAATTCAAGATGGCGGCTTAAACAGCGACCGTTTTATCTAGAAAACTGTTCATTTTTCACGACTTTCACTTTATAGAGCTGATTTTAGCGTTTTTGATAACATTTTTCCGAATACTTTTAACAAAAAATATGTATTCAGCTGAAATGTTGCCAAATGAAAAAAAAAATCCGAACATTTTTTGATACCGGGTTTTTAGGAAACTTTCATGTATGTCTTTATGAAAAATATTTAAATATCTTTTTACAATGATTTCACTGTTTAACAAATTTTTTACTGTTGCATATCGATGGCTTAACCTGCAAACCGGCTAACTCCATTTTTGACCTAAAATCATGTTTTGATGTCGTCGAATACGCGGAGTTGCCACTTACGGTATGCAAAATGAAACAACTCCCTAGCTTTCAAAATTAGCGAATAAATTACGTGCACGTATATTGGGCAACTCCCAACATTGACAGAGCAACACGTCAAAAGTGGCTAACTCCGGTGCTAGCCGCCATTTTGTACTGAGCAGCGTGCAAGAAAAAACAGGTTTACGCGGCCTAAGTTTATATTTTTGTCAATGAGCGTAAATAACAGACATTTTAACCTGAAAATATTACATGGAATTGCTGGTAAGTGTCTTTATTTAAAATAATGTATAATTGTTGTGAATACTTAAAAAGAAAGCCATAGATAACCTACAAAAGTGCGATGATGGAGTTGGCCATTTTTTATTGTGACAATTTGTTCTTGATTTGGGAGTTACCAGTTTTGAGTTTTTGGGTAAATTAATGTTAAAAAATTTAATATTTAATGAGATTATTGTTACTAATATTGCAGACAAAGAAAATGTCGAGGGCGAAAAAAATGGTCGAAGCTGCTTGCAACCGCAGTCGTCAAAATGACATAATCTTTTTCACAAAGGAATCAATTGAAAATATGCCTGTTATACTGGCTGCTGAATCGTCAACATCTGAAGCTGTCCCAGAAGTAATTATGCAAATTGGCCCATTACCTGATGATGCGGTAACATCAGATGCTGTTACAGAAGCGATCATGGAAATTCCTCCACTAGCTGATGAAGCGGCAATATCTGATGCTGTTACAGAAGTGATCATGGAAATTCCTCCACTAGCTGATGGGTCTTTAACGTCATGCTCTCATGCTCTTACAGAGGAAATCACGGAAATGGAACCAATAGCCGATGGCTCATCTTTGAATTCCGGTCTGTTAACAGTGGCTACTGAAGCATCCATGGAATCATCCGTACCAGCTACATATTCACAGATTACACCACGTCATGATAACAATGCTGCCTTGATTGATAACTATATAAGTGATGATAGTGACTACAATAATGAACAACTTGTACCCTATTCTGATCACTCGGATTCTAACAGTGAAGAACAACCAAGGGGAGTTAGGAGAAGAAAAAGGTGTCAGGTTAACAAAGCTACATGGAATGAATACAAAAACAAACTTAATCGGGAAAAGGGGAGGCAGTATACTGGGCGAAAAAAAGTTGACGGGAAATGGGAAAAAACACTAAAGAATAAGCGAGTGCTTAAACCTCGATGCAAATGTAAGACAAATGACAAAACTGCCTTAAAATGCTGTGAAATTAAAGAAGATGATAGAAAAACAATATATGAAAAGTTTTGGGGGATGACTTGGGGAGAAAAGAAGGTTTACGTAAATGGTCTTGTACAAGAGATGCCTACAAAACGCGCAAGAGATAGAAAAGACCCATCTATTACAAAGAGAAAAAGCTCAATGATTTATAACTTGCATTTGAATGACGGACGTCGTGTAAGGGTTTGCAAAACGATGTTTCAAAACACTTTGTGTATCACCAAAATGACCATCTGGAACTGGAAAAAAGGTAAAGAAAATACCTCAAACAATAAAAACCAAAATGTATCTGCCAGAAAAAATCCCCACGAAGCAGAGGTAGAATCACTTAAAGAGTTTTTGAACAACATACCAAAAATGGAATCTCACTATTGCCGCAAATCTACATCAAAGCTTTATTTGCTACCAGAATGGACATCAAAAAGAGCTCTATATGAATTCTACAAAAAAGACTGGTGTGCGTCGCGAAATAATAAACCTCTCTCTATAGCAAAATTCAGTAACACTCTAGAAATTGAAAACATATCACTATATAAGCCAAAAAAAGATGAGTGCGAAAAATGTCTATCCCATAAACTCGGAAATATACCTGATACAGAACATAAAGAGCACATTGAAAGAAAAAATGAAGCCCGTATCGAAAAAGAAAACGATAAAAATTCAGAAGAATTCGTATTTACGATGGATACACAAGCTGTGTTATTAGCACCTAAATCTAATGTTTCATCTCTATATTATAAAACCAAGCTATGCACACACAATTTCTGTTTATTCAATTTGAGAAATAAAGATGGATTTTGCTATCTATGGAACGAGACTGAAGGTGCCCTATCGTCTGACAACTATGCTACTATAATAGTCAAGTTTATTACAAATAATCTTCTGCCGGGCATTCACAGAGAACCTGAAGAGGATATTAAAATTATATTGTACAGCGATGGATGTACAGCACAAAATAGGAACGTGGTATTGGCAAATGCTTTACTCAATGTGGCAACATTAAACAATATTATAATTGAGCAAAAGTATTTGGAGGTTGGCCACACCCAGATGGAGGCTGACTCTATGCATGCCACCATAGAGAGGAAGCTGAAAAATAAAGTTATTCATGTACCAGCTGAATATGTAGGAATTTGTCTTGGAGCACGCATACACCCTAAGCCCTACAATGTGTCTTATTTAACGCACGATTTTTTTAAGTCCTTTGGAAGTCTACAATATTATAAATCTATAAGACCAGGAAAAGCGACAGGAGACACTAAGGTACTCTTGATTTTATTTATATTTGACCTTATTATTTTATTCAATTTTGTTACTCTTTTTCTTCAGGTTTCAGTAGGAATGTAAAAAACACATTTTACTGTGTAATTGATTGATTAGGTAAATTGTTTGTGTTCAGGTCACAGACATTCGTGCGCTGCAATATAAAAAAGGGAACATATACTTTAAACTAAGATTTAAAGATGAGTGGCAGTTACTACCACAACGATGCGATAGAAATATCGCACCCACGGCAATTGAAAGCTTACCGAACCTTTATAAAAATCGGCTACAAATTAAAAATCGCAAGTTCAAAGACCTCCAGGAATTAAAATCTACCCTACCGGTGGACTACAGGGACTTCTACAACAACATACGAGGGTCAAACTGAAAGTTCTTAGAACTGGCCACTTATAAACAATATAATAAAAAAATAATTCTAAAATTTGAAAATATAACTCTTTGCCAATATTACTGAGTATATATTTCATTCATTTGTCATTTGTTTTACGATTTGGCGGCAAATTGAAAATTGTCTGTGTCACGTCATCATGAATTTAACACGAGAAAATTTTCGTGCAATGATTTTTTATGACTTTCGATGTCATTTAAGTCAACAAGAAAGTTATGATAGACTACGATTGGCCTTTCACGATGAAGCCCCATCTCGTGCGACTGTTTACAACTGGTTTAATGAGTTTAAACGTGGTCGCACTAATCTCACTGATGATTTACGTGAGGGACGGCCTTCTACGGCGACGACTGAAGATAACATCTGTGTTGTGCGGCGTATGATAGAGACTGACAAAAGAGTGACCTATCAACAGATTCGGACAAGCTTAGGCATCGGTATGAGTCAAGTGCACAAAATCCTCCACGAACATTTAGCGGTCAGGAAGCTTTGCGCCCGGTGGATACCTCATAATTTGACTGAGGCTCAAAAACTCCATCGTGTGGATTGGTGTCGTAAAATGATTGAAAGATTTAACGGAGGTGACTCAAATGCTGTGTTCGACATACTAACAGGTGACGAAAGCTGGATTTACTGTTATGATCCTAAAACCAAAAGACAATCTGCTCAGTGGGTGTTTCCTTTCGAGGAGTTGCCAACTAAAGTGAAGAGAGATCGAAGTGCGGGAAAAAAAATGGTGGCCTCGTTCTTTGGAAGGATAGGTCATTTTGCAACAATTGTGTTAGAGGATCAAAAAACAGTTTCTGCAGAATGGTACACTACCAATTGTTTGCCACTTGTCTTGGAAAAAGTTCGAGAGAAACGACCTCGCAGTAGGATCCTCCTTCACCACGACAACGCCTCGTCGCACACCGCCAAGCGAACGATCGACTATTTGGCGACATCAAACGTTGAATTATTGGGTCACCCGCCGTATAGCCCCGACCTCGCGCCTTGTGATTTTTATTTATTTCCAAAAATTAAAGAAAAACTTAAAGGAAAGCGGTTTATGAATGCTGAAGAAGCGGTGGCTGCGTATCGCGATGCCATTGAAGAGACCCCTAAGGACGAGTGGGCAAAGTGCTTTTCCCAGTGGTTCCATCGCATGCAGCGGTGTATTGACGTGAATGGACAATATTTTGAAAAGATATAATAAAACTAATAACTGGCTAATGTAATCAGTTTTTGATTTTCTAAGAACTTTCAGTTTGACCCTCGTACCACATGAATGAAGACTTTTAACATTATAAGACGTAATAAAACATATTTTGTGACAAAAATATAGTTTTCTTTTCTCTTATTATGCAAAACTAATCTAAAAAATCTATATAAATCTAAATATAGGAGTTACAGAAAAGTGGACAACTCCCATATTTTTATAATTTTTTAATTTTCAAATAGGCCATCTCCAAAAATCTATTTTAAAGGTATGTGATCAATATATTTTTTCATAATGTTCAGTTAATTCCGTATGCATAATAAAAAAGCACCACATAGTATTTTGGAATATGGATATTGTAAATATTGAATTTTTTATTAAGTTTTTTTGCCTTCCTCTAAAATTGCTTAAAACGGAGTTGGCCAATTTGCAGATTAAGCCATCGATATATAACAGAATTGATGGAATAATTTGAGTGATCGACTAGCAACACTGATAGTAGTCACCATATTAATTTCAGAATGATTCTGACTGAGCTGGCGACTCGGAAGCTTTGCATATATAGACCGTTTGTGTATCTTTACTCAATCTTTACGTGGTGAGAAAAAAATTCCACTATTTTAGCCAGCAAAATAAAGCGAGCGAGACATTGTCATTCGAGCAAACATAAAGCGAGCGAAAACATAAACATAAAGCGAGCGAAGCGAGCCATAAAGGGTGACCATTTTGAGAGATTTAATTATTTAGTAAGGTTACAACTGTAACTTAAATAAAATGCGAGCGAAGCGAGCCATAAAGAACACCATCAATAGAAAACTGATCAATCATTTAGATTAGAACTGTGAATAAAACAAAACGGTTATGTTAGCACTGTGACTAAAACAAAAAGCAAGCGAAGCGAGCCATAATGAGTAATCACTAAGAGAGATTTGGTTAATTGATAAGGATAGTACTGTAACTAAAATAAAATGCGAGCGAAGCGAGCTATAAAGAACACCATCAATAGAGGCCTGGTCAATCAGTTAGATTAGAACTGTCAATAAAATAAAAAGCGAGCGAAGCGAGCCATAATAAATGGAGACCTGGTCAATTTGCTTAAGTGAGCGAAGCGAGCCATAATGCTAGACCATTAAGAGAGACCTGATCAATCGATTATGTTAGCACTGTGTCTAAAACAAAAAGCGAGCGAAGCGAGCCATAAGGAGTAACTGTTAAGGAAGATTTGGTTAATTGGTAGGGCTAGAACTAGTAACATTTGGTTTATAATGTTTAAAAGATGATCGTGACCATTTTAATTTCAATTTTAATTTCGATGGACGTGACAATTCGGGATCTTTATAGTGAGAGACTATAATTTATTTGGAGTTTTGCTTGCGTTTTTTGACTAAATATTTCTTTTTCTGTTAAGCGTAAACTGGCAACCCTTTTTCTTTGATGTATGGTGCTTAAACACCTTTCATTTTAAGACAGAACTTACTAACTTTTTGTAGGCGATTACAAACTATAAAACAAACATAACAAAAAAACGAAAGACTCAAATTCTGCAACGAAGGCGGACTTAAAACCCTACCGCCCCGATTCCACTAGCTACTCGTGACCTACCCTGGCTGCCGGGCGAAAGCTTCTATTCTGAAACGAAGGCGGACTTAAAACCCCATCGCGTCGTGAATTTATCTATTCTAATATCTGACCACGACATCGGTTCCCTTTTCATATAATAAATAAATCTTACATAAATAATGTAATGTAATAATGCAAATACAATTAAGTGTCAACTGGCAGCACTTTTTCTTTGATGTATGGTGCTTTGTTTCCTTTAACACCTTTTATTTGCAGATAGCACTTACTGACCTTTTCTAGGCAATTTCAAACTGTAAACCCGACATAACAAGAGGCAGACTTGAAACCCCACCGCCCCGATTCCACCAGCTACTCGTTACCTCCCCGGGCTGCTCGCAGCCCGGGGCAAACAAGCGAAAGCTAGTTTTGTTTTATATTGTTTATTTACTACGTAATAAGGAATAAGATATTCATGATTTGTCTAACCTTAATAAATGATTATCTTAAAAGATAGTGATTTTATTCTAAGTCCCAATCGCGACATTTTGCGAAAGAGACATTCTGCGAAAGAGACATTTTGCGAAAGCGACATTTTTCGAAAGAGGCATTCTGCGAAAGAGACATTATGAGAAAGAAACATTTTGCGACCGGGAGACATTTTGCGAAGTGGACGTTTTGCGAAAAACCTTTTTATGGTAAAGATAATTATAACTCTTTTGCACCTATAAAAATGTACCATCAATTATTACTATTGGAATTCGATCTTCTCCTCCAAATAGACTGTTTGGTATAAGATTTCTTTCTGATATTTAAGACCTGGTAATATGATGAATACCCAAATTATGAAAAACAAATTCAACATTTAGTAATCCACGAGCTGCTCCTAATAGTTTTGTTAACGTTGAACGAGGTATATTTAATAAAGTTGATATTCTCTCATCACTATTCCCAGTTCTTAGTTTAATTAAATAAACAACAAGCCTTAACTCCCCATTACGCATTCCAGACAACTCAGAAAGATTTGCTTTTATCTGAAGTAACTCCTGTTTAGACAGACCTATCCAAAAGTGCACAATGTCTTCAGGCATTCCTTCAATTTTGCTAAAATTCATTGTAAGATTTCTTTCTTAAACAAATGATGCAAAATCGTGTGTCTAAAGGGTCAAATAATAAAGAGGGTGTCTAAAGGGTCAAACAATAAAGACGGCAAAGTCCCATTTATTAAGAAACATTGATTTTTGTTTTATTTTAAATAGCAACACCATTGTGTCGTAACCACATCATTAGTTTCCTTTAAATCCGGCTATGTCCCAAAGAAATCTATGCTTATTCGAGACGTTTCTGAACAAATACGGGAAAGTCCCCGAATGACATAACAAAGGTGGCAATGTCCATTTCGACCAACCGCAAGTTAGCAGTTTCAATGGCAGCTTGACAAGAAACTACTCTGTGCTTGTTCCTATTTTTTTATGAATACCAAGTGTTTTAATTGATAATATCTAATACAAAACGTATTTTCTTGAAGATGGACTGTAATCCTAAAGTTGTGCCTAAAAATAAAGCAAGGAAGAAAGCTGCAAACGCAGAAAATTGAAAGCAAAACAGAGCTGAAAACAAAGGTTAGTGTCAAATTTGCAAGGGTTAAACAATTGTTTATAATAGGTAAAATTTGGTCAAGTGTGAGTCGGTCGGTATTATCGTATTTTATACTTATAAGTTTTAAGTATACACTTCATTTTGATATAATTACCCCACTACCGCGGAAGGTCATGATTTTGACCGGTATGTATGTATGTATATGTGTGAGCGTATGTATATATGTATGTTCATCTGTTCCCTGTTGACAATTGAGGTAACGATAGAATAGTCTCGATCGTCCGCATAAAATTGAATCTGGCGCCCTCTAGTGAACATAAAGTCACAAACTAAAAAATAAAAAAGTCTGGTTTCAGTTTCTGAAATTAAAGTCTTGTTTTGTTTTAGTAACCAGTTGTTGCTCTAGCATCAATTTTGGTCTCAGATGGGGCGTTTGTCTCGGGTACAAAAACAAAATTGATCATCAAGTACCGTGATCGGTATGGTAAACCGCCTTTGCATGCATACTAGTTCAACTCGCGCTTGGCCAACTTTGATGTACTTTTCCATTTTAAGTAATTCTGAATTAAAATTTATTTATCGATTCGTCATCAGCCCTTTTGATGCTTCCTTATGGGTGGTTAAGGAGGATTGGCCATAAGTCTCCACGCGGGCCCAATGCGGATTGGAGGATATTAACGGCTGCTAATGCAACCGGGAGAATTGGAAAACACGATTATAATTGGCATGTGGTGTAAATGGTTGCTACTAAATCCAAGCGTAAAAAAGATTGAAGTATATTTTCATATAAAAGGGCATTCATATTTACCTTCAGATAGAGTCTTTGGGCACATAGAACATGAAATTAATGGAAAAGACGTAATTATTCGACCCCAAGAATATCATGATATTATTGCCAATCATAGTGCTGTAATACTTATGGGTAAGAGGGACTGCAAAGTGCTCAATTGGAAAGCTGCTGCGGACCAAATCGTGAAGCCGCCAGGTCGGTGGCATTTCAAATTTATGGAATCCAAGCGTATAATTTTCAAGAGATGTCGCACAGACACCAATAATGCGTGAAGCATTTTATAAAAGTAATGTGGGAGCTATTCCAAATGTTTGTCGTCGAGGAAAAAATATAATGATGATTTCGTCAAATGAAATGTTATTAGGTGTATCAGTAAAATCAGAGAAGATTAATGATGTGTCTATTTTACTATCAAAACATTATGGATCATATTTTAGAGATATCGACGATTTGAGATTCTACAAAAATATTATCTATCAACCTAATGTAAACATTAACAACGCGGAAAGTGAAGAAAGCGAGTCCCGCGTGGAGAACCCTGCATTAATTGTTTAGGAATAAATAATATCATTTTTGCTATTTATCGCTGTTGATTAAATAGGTCTGATTTAATTTGTTTTTCATTAATGAAAATAAAACAAATTTGATTTTCTTATTAAATGTCTTATTTTGGACACCCCTGGGAGTTGATAATCCATATTCATTTATAACAAAAGCGGTAATGTCCTTAACCATTCACAAAAAACAAGAAAAGTTCTCGCTTTACTAACAAACATGGCAAAGCCCATCACGTATTTTAAGTTGTAAGCTTATTTTAATAGGAAATAGGTAATATCTAAAAGATTACTCTATTAAAAATGGAAATACATCACTACATTAGCTTTCTAAATATTTTACAAATCTATAAGTTTTTAATAAATTACCCAACATTATGTTTAGTGGACTTTTCTGCCTTTGTTATTAGACACCTGATATGTTCTGTGCTAAATGTTTAAATAGGTTGCCTGATAGACTATCATGCAACCTATTACAATACAATTGGTCCCAATTTTATAATTTTATTTTATTTTGTTATTAAGGCACAATAACAGACAACAGAATAGCAAACATACAACTATATGGGTGAATATACGCTATTTGAATTTCAATGGTCTATTGTTAAATAATGAAAAATCTCTAAGATTCATTTTTTGTATACGCTGCTCTGGTGGCCAATTTTATTACTTTTATAATTATTGAGTAAATGGTGGGTTTTATAAGAAAAATAATTATATATTGTTAACGCAAGATTGATAAAAATGCAATAAATTCATGTTAATTTATTTATTATTCTTAATACAAAATGCTTAAAAAATTCACTTGGTCCCTGGCACCCTGAGATGGGACTCGAACCCATGACCTTTTGTAATCCGGGCGATATTTGTATTAAGAATAATTTTCAGTGTAGCATTTTGACTGCGAAATTAATCAAATATAATAATTTACTTATTCTATATAATTGTTATATATTCAGAGAAAAACAAATCAATTGTGTTACATTTATATATTTTATTAAATGAGTTTTATTTATATAAGACAATTGAGTCGATTGGTTTCAAAGGCGGCCATCTGTGTTTTTTTTTTCAAAATTGAGTTATTGACAGGGCAACACAGAGAATTTTGAATAAAAACGGATTATTTTATTGTTGCGTAACAAATCCGGCGTTTTGTCATACAAAATACACGTTAAAATCTGAAGTTGTGACCAAATCCGGCAGGCAATCTTTCATAGTTCAGTTTCAAATACGGCCATCTTAAGTCATCGACCAATCAGAAGCCACAGTTCTCTCGCGTGCTTTGATGGTCAGCGGAACGTTTTTATGCTTTGTATTTTAATGTTTATTTGGTGTTTTCTTGCCGTAATTCGATCAAATATTGTAATAAGTTCATTATGGAGTCACACCCCAGCGTTGTAACTAATAATTGTCCAAGAAAACGCAAGAGAAACACGGAAAATTGGATACGAAACCAGGCTAAGAAAGTGAGGTTAGTATAGTATTAGGGTTGTCAAAACTGAGTAGCGTGTTTGCATATTAAACAAGCTAATGTATTGTTATTTTTTCCCGACTACGGTGAAGCCATAAAGAGGGTACCTAATAATGCGTTCACCTGTTTGTGTATTTATGTTAAGTAGTCGGTTTTTTAGGGTTCCAAAGGCGGAATCTGTCTGTCCGTCTGACTGTCGTCAGACAATATCTTATGAACGGTGATATCTTGGCTGGTTTTTAATTTGTTTTAGGTATTCGCAAAAGTCGTTACCGAAAAAAGTGTGCACCCATAACTCAAAGGCACTGCAATGTGATACATTGGCGATGACCCAGCTCAGAAAAATGAATGAAAAATTTTACAGTTTTAAAAACAAGAAAGACCAAGATGCCATGATCTTGAAATTTTGTAATATTGAACCTGTACATCACAGACCAGGTTACAAAGGAAAAAAGCAAACCACTATAAAGTATGCTGTTTGGTCACAAAAAAAAGGTGCCAATATGTCAAAAACTTATTTTGACTTTATTTGGAATAACGAAACAGAGTTCAATATGTTATGAACAGATATTTTTATGCTGGAGATGTAGTAATTAATGAACGTCGAGGTAAAACTAACTTTTTTTCTTCAATTAATTTTATTTTATCAGAGTTTGTAGTAGGTACTTCTTGGTTTATTAAGTAGGTAGTTCTAGTAGTAGTACCTACTACAAAATTAAAGTAATATTTTTTTTTGTAAACCAAAAATTGTCGAAATAAGTAATACCATAATGTGTTCCATAATTTTTTTTTTCTTTGTTTTCAGGCGGAAATCATAAGGAGCATTTATTTGCTGAACGAAGGCAATCCGTTCACAACTTCATACAAAAATTAAATTGTGGGGAATCACATTACTGCAGAAAAACAAAGATGGCCGAAAGGAAATACTTATCATCAGACGAATATAAACAAACTCTATAAAGTTTACAAAGAAAGTGACTATTGGAATGCTGCTGTTAAGAAATCATATTTCCATATTTTTAATACTAACTACAATCTGGGATTTGGGACACCTAAAACCGATGCATGTTCTAAATGCTTAGAGCTTACTGAAAAAATCGCTTGCGAAACCGATCAGGAAAAGAAAAAACTATTGACGACAGAGAAGAGAGTGCACTCATTAAGGGCGGCTGCTTTTTTTGAAAAACTCAGAGAAGTATCAGATGGTCTCAAAATATTATCCTTCGATTGCCAAAAAAATCTTCCTTTGCCAAAGGTACCTGATCAAATGGCTTACTATTCGCGGCAATAATATTTTTTTAATTTCACTGTGGTGGAAGGGGCTTCAAATATTCCCCTAAACAAGGAACGTGTGTTTACTGCACGGAAAATGAGTTTAACAAAGACTCAAATTTAGTCGCTTCAGCTATGACACATCGGCTTGACAATACGAATTTGACCAATATCACGAAGGTTCGACTGGTTGCAGATGGTTGCGGTGGCCAAAATAAAAATAGTATTCTTGTAGGTGCATGCTCTAAGTGGCTACTAGACCATCCAAATATTAAGTCTATCGAGTTGGTGTTGGTGTCACTCATATATGCCTGCAGATAGGCAATTTTGAATTGCTAAAAAAAAAATGCGTAAAATGGATGTAATCTTACACCCAGATATATTAAAGGATATATTGGGAGAAACTTCCACATTGGTGAAGATAGGGAGAGACTGTCCAATTTATAACTGGAGAGACGCCGTCAAATCAGGTGTGAGGCCCACTACTACGTGGCACATGGCATTTAAAGAATGCAAACGATTCATTCTTAGACGCACAAAAGCAACGAGCAATGTTGTGGTACGAGGAGAATTGCATTACAAAAGTGATATAGCAACAGCTCAAAACATTTGTCAACGTAATAAAGACGTGTCTCATATAAGGCCTCAGCAACTGCCCAGTATAGTGCCCGTAAATAAAGATAAACTATCAGACGTTAAAAAGTTGCTCCTAAAACATTTCGGCCCTGAGTGGGAAAACATGCCAAATTTATTTTTTTATAAAAATGTTTTTGAGACGCAGCAAGCTCTCGTTGCACCTCAAATCGAAGAAAATTACTGCCAAGAATTAATGGACGAGGTGCAAGATCTTCGCGTGTAACTTTTATTTTATTTTAAGTGTAATTTCATTTAATATTTTTTTTAGTATCAGATACCTAAAAATAAAGGTGATGGATGTGTGACTATTTTTTTTAAATAAAATTTGTATCTAAATATTTTTTATTTCATTTCATATTATTCTGTCATAAAGTAAATTTATGCTTTGGTGACAACCCTGAATAAAGAAACAGATAGTCAAGAAGTTTGGGATCAAAAACAGTAATCTACACGTTTGTGAGTTACAAAAGCGGCATTCTGAAAAGTTTGGCTTAAAATATTATTATAAATATTAAAATATTCTAAGGGACAGTGTTTATCAAAGTCGGCAATTTGTAAAATTTAAATGCAGTTTATGTTTTCTTTATCACCTATAAACCCCAAAATGTTATTTTCATGGCATCTGACACCACTTATTATTAAATATATCAGCTTTTTTACCCAACGGACCATAAGAATAAAAAACTAACGAATTTTTTTGATTTGCCAAATATTCACCAGAAGTCAGATTGCCGCCTTTGAAACCAATCGACTCAATTAGAAAAATATTACTTTTCGTAAAACGATTTAATCGACCTTCTTCATAACAATAAATTAATAAATAATATATTCAATTATAAGTATAATTATTAATTGCATTAGAGGTATTGTAATCCTTAACGTAAAAATCTTGATTGCAAAATTACAAGATGAAAGATGAAAACAATCCCTCAAAAATTTGTATCACAGAAAATACTTAAATATGATTACAATTTATCAATAGCTTTAGCCCAGTGATAAGCTAATGTTGAATAAAATGGATGTTTATTACAATCACATATTACAATTAATAAATCACATTTATTATTTATACCTTTTATATTATCTTTATTCTAAAATACATGCATGGAAGATAGAAACAATTATTATTAGTATCACAGAAAATAATTAAATATGATTACAATTTAATAATAGCGTTACTCTAATGATAAACGAATGCTGAATTAAATGGATCTTTATTATAATTAAATAATTATTACATAAAACACATTCATTATTTTTTATTTTTAATATTATCTTTATTCTAGAATACCTATATGGATGGAAGATAAAACCAATTATTATTAGTATCACAGGAAATAATCAAATATGATTATAATTTAATAATAGCTTTACCCTAGTGACAAAATGACGTTGTATAACAAGAATGTTTATTATAATTGAACAATCATTATATAAATCACAAATATTAAAATGTGTTATAAATAAATAATTAGCCCTAGTGAAGTTATTCTTAATATAACGGCTTAACAAAAAATATTTTTCTACACTCTATAAATATTTTTAAATTAAAAATAGCTGTTTCAATCATACTAAGTCAAATTACAAACATAAATCTGAGTATTCTGTCTGAAGTTTACATACTAAAGAAAATAAAGTGTATATGTCACCGGAAAATAACAAGATCCGTAAGTTTATCAATTTACTAGGAAGTTTATAAACTTTCGTAGGATTCTAAACGGGAGATAAATCGTATTATTTTACGTCTACATTTTCGTAAATTTATCAATTACCGACAACACACGGTAAATTTATAAACTAACGGATATCTATTCGTAATATTCTTTATGGTTCGACCAATCACAGAAGGATATTTAAATATACGCATCTTTGAAATACGTAAAATAACACACTGCTCTCTAATTGGTCAATGTTCATAGTGGGAATGCTTGTGTCCATAGACTTCGGTACAATCAGACTTGACAAACTATAAATTGGTAGAAAAGGCTTTATTATCAAAAAAAATATACAAAACATAGCTTTTTCGTCTGTGTCATACATACCTACTCGGTCATAGTTACATACCTAATTCAATAATTAGTAGCTCGGTCGTAATTTTTCTTAACTTAGTCTTAACATGGCTTAAAAAACATATAGTAAAAATAAGTAAAAATTATTTAAGTACTTATTACCAATTATCTACTTATTGTCACAAGTCAAAGATTTATGGCACCTTGAATTGCACAATATATTAGCTTTTTTACAATTACACTTATTTGATAAACACTGTCCCTTAGAATATTTTTTGCAATTGCATTGCTTTATTCCTTGCCCGCCAAATGTAGAAGACATCGCAGATATTTTTCTTAATGGTAACTTAATCTGTAGATACAAACTTAAAGTACATAAGAATTGCAAGTCATGTTTATATAAGTAGAAATAATAGTACAAATCGTACCTCAGGAAGTTTCATTCAACATTTCTCCTGTGGTTGAAAGGACAGCGTTTCGAGGCAACCAGTCATTAATGACGCCAAACGAAGTGCCAACTTTATACAGTTCATTCCTTTTTTCTATTACTTTGCCGACAACATTCTTGCTATCTAGAGGCCCCCTATCTACTCTCGGTACTTCGACTAATACAGTAGCACCAACATCAATATTTTTAAACTTTTTAGAAGAATGTGCTGTAATTTTTTCTGCTGCTCTTTTCAAATTTAAGTGCGAGTCCTTCCTTTCCTTCAAAATGTTTATTTCGTTTGTGCATAATTTACATATTAACTGCGAACCATAACCTTCGTCATTGCTTTCTGTTGGTTCTCCGCAGATAACGTGTACTAATACGTTTACATTTAATACATGTATGAGCCCCAGGTGATTCGTTGTTGCATACGTGACAAAACAACGTATCTGATTCGACATTTTGTTCTATTGTAGTTGTAGTCTCGATTCCATTTGCAATGTTGTCAAGGTCTTGCCAAATATTGTTTGTGTTCGCGCCCGTGCTTTCACTGTCAACTACAAGTACTTTGACTTGCTCAGTTTCAGATATATTTTTTGTCGTAATAATTGACTCTGTGGCAATATCAAGAGTTTTACAAAGGTTTTCTTTATCAGAAGTTATATTACCATCGTCATTTACGGTCTTATGTTCATCGTCATTTACAGATTTTAAGAACGTCTCTACATCCTCTTCCATTTCAAATTGAGAAATTATATTCTCGGACAAATGTGTAGAAGTTAGACCGTACCTTGGATCATCTCCAAACAGGGCTTTAAACGGTGTCCTTGCAATCGTAGAATGGTATGATGAATTTTTTTGGAATTGGGCAAAGTAACAACCTATTGACCAATTAGTTGAATTATTATCCACCATCCAAGCACGAATCATATTCTTCACGTCTTGGTTTGAACGTTCTACACTTCCCTGGCTTTGGGGATATCTAGGCCTTCCATTAACAATTTTGCAAGCTGGCCATAAGCTCACTATTTCTTTTAATATTGATGCCGTGAACTCACGTCCATTGTCGCTTTGGAGAATATTGGGACAACCAACTTCTAAAAATATCTTTAAAATTTCAATTGCTACTTCTTTCGCTTCTTTGCTTTTGAGTGGCCGTAAAAAACAAAATTTGGTCAAATGATCTTGGTACTGTAACATCCATTTGTACTCTCCATCTGGCGATGATTGAAAATCCACCAGATCTACCTGTCCTCTTCTATTGAAGTCATCTGTAATTAGTGGTTTCACGACTATCCCAGTTTTAGGAAAACTTTTATTGGAAAGGCAAGTTTTGCACAATTGAAGAAAAATATTTATGGCAAACACTGGAACCATGTACTTTTCTTTCAAGCCGTAAATAATTTTGTCACGCCGTCCGTGACCTGTAGCAACATGTGTATCAAGGATTTTTTGATAGTATTTACTGCTTGGAATTACTTGTATCACTGGATCCTGCTGAGATTTCCTTTTTAATATCAATACTTTTTCGTCACTAAAAGTCATAATGTCATACTTTTTGGCGTGATAGTATTCTTTGTCTGTGGGCCGACTTCCCAAAAGTTTAGCTTTATTATAATTTTCTATCATTTTAATAACATTTTGAATTTTTTCCTCTGTCCATTCCGACTTCTTACTATTTTGGTTATGCCCACTATAAAACTTTCGTAGCTCTGTGGTAAATTTTACTTCGTCAACAAATGTTCCAGCATTTACCACACTATCTCCTTCATTTTGGGTGTCCGCAGCTTGTAGGTCACTCATTATGGGTATTGCTATATAAACTTAACGAAATAAAGCTATTTTTCACAGTTTCAACACAGTTCAACAACAGTTCAACACTTCAAACTAATCAAAACGCACGAGCAAACCGGTTTGTTTATGTTCCGTGGCGAACAATGGCGGCCGCGAGGAAGGAGAAGTGACATGAGACAGTCAACCAATCAGATCGCGCGTGGCGTTTGGTTCTTGCTTACTTATTATTTTACGAGTGAGTTCAGTAAGTTTATCAATTTACGAAAATGTAGACGTAAAATAATACGATTTATCTCCCGTTTAGAATCCTACGAAAGTTTATAAACTTCCTAGCAAATTGATAAACTTACGGATATTTTTATTTTCCGGTGACATATACAATATTTTTAATTTCAATGATTAAATCGGTATCTTTTATAACATTAAAATAATAAAATAATGATCAAGGAATTAAAGTATATTAATCCTTAGCCATTCTAACGTAACAATTTCTGTTATAAAATAAATAGATATAAAATATAAACAACTCTTATTCGTATCACAGGAAATAATCAAATATCATAGCAATTTACATCAACACTAGTCGCGATATAACACCGACCGAAATTGTCAATATTTATAACAATCCAATAATCATCATATAAAACACAAATTACTAATAATATGTGTTATAAATTCTAAGGTATTATTGGTATCAGTACTAACAATAATCGAGTAAAGCAATGCAAAAAAATGATGATAATTTTTTATCACAGACATTATAATCAAATGTAGGTAATATAAATAACAAATCCGTTTGCTGGCTAAGCCACTCTTGTACTACATGCGCACGGTGTATGGGACAATTATCTTGAAAAAAAAAAAACAAAGTTTGGAAGTTCATCCCTCGGATACACCGTGCGTACTGAAGGCAACATAACTTCCTCCAGCAATTCCTTGTATGATTGTCCAGTGGTTCTCCCGTCGATATATGCCAGTTCACCTTGCCCGTCAGCACTCATCCAGCCCCACATGTTTACCACAATTCTACCCGAATCGTTGTTGGGACGCACATTCCTGGGTTCATATCGCGTACAGTCCATACGCCATAAATTCTGACGACCATGTTCGCTGGACTTAAAACATTTTTTGTCAGAAAATATGGCATTTTCAAAATTAAAATCGCGATAATCACGTGCGAACCTAACACGGGCCTCTTTCTGGGCAGAGTTCAATATAATTTGTTTGCGGGTTTCCTGTCGTGTATACCAGCTTTATGGAGTCCCCTTCTTATGGTCCTCACAATGCAGTCATATTCAGACGCGAACTCTTGATATATGTTTATCATATCAGATACTCGCTCAGGAGTTAATATAGACGGTGGATGTGCTCGGGGCCGATCTTCAATCGACCCCTCTGCAGCATCTCGCTGTATCCAGCGGCGAACAGTCTCTCTCTGCTAAATTAAATTAGAGTTGTTGTATGTTAATTAAATGATATAAAATCATGTCATGCATACATTTTTTTTTCTTTAAGGACAAAATTTGTTCAAGTTGAAGTCACGGTATACATTTTATAACTCTTACGACGCAATTGGTGAGATTGTTATAAACTACATTAACTGCATAAAAAAATAATTTGCATTGCTTTTTTCAAAACAATGCGCTCTATATGAAAATAATGAGGAAGTATTTAAAAAAAAAAGTTAGTTCTCAAAAGCTAACTAGATGTCGCCAGCGAAACGTGGATAATGACTATGGTATACAGTCAGATTTTCTTTTTTATGTAATAAAGGTAAATTAAGGTTCGAAAATTAATAAAAGTCATCGTCACCTGTTTCTTATATTATCTCGACCTCCGTAGCCGAGTGGTTCGCACGCTGGTTTTAAGGTGTCGCCATCTCTAAGGTCCCGGGTTCGATTCCCGGTCGGGTCAATTTAGAAAATGAACTTTTCTATATCGACTCGGGTCTGGGTGTTGTGGTACCTTCGTTGTCTCAGATACTCCATAAAACAGGGGCTTTAGCTACTCATCTTGGAATCTGAGCAATGTATGTGATGTTGTTAAATATTTATATTATATATTTATATTAATTAATTTATTTATTTATTTTAATTTTATTAAATTATAAGTTATTTATTATGTAACGTGTAAAGGAACGACGGTCGATTTACTGGTTGTAGTGTGTGAGCTTGTTTGTTGTAGTAGCTGGCTAGCATTCGAAGTTCACGAGTTGTCTTCGATTTTAAACCAACCATATTTTCTGCGAGTTAATCACGTTGAATAGAGCGCCTTAGTTCCTCCGTGTTTATCATCGAACATTTCTCGAGACAGGACTCTTTTCTTTCGTGTTTGTGTTGTGTGTGTTTGCCGGACAGAGCCCTTGCGTAGTCATCATTGACTCACCTACCATGGCAACAATAAGTAAAGATTATGGCTCTTGGACCCTTGGCCAATTAAAAGCAGAGCTACGCAAGCGTAATGCTAAACTCACTGGACGGAAAGCTATCTTAGTTAAGAGGTAAATTTTTCGTTTTTTAACCATATCTTTCAGCAGTTAAGTTTTCTACCAAAATTTTATTCATACTGGTTACTTCTAACGTTTTTAAATACAAGGGTTTGTTCACACTATGTAATTATTGTCTATACTAATAATATAAGATTTGATCATTTGTTTGTATTGACTACGCTCTGAAACTACTGGACTGCTTCACTTACTGGAAGCTACATCATACGTTTGTGACATAGGCTATCTATGCAGGCGAAGTCGCGGGAAAGCAGCTAGTATTAGATAAAATTTATTAAAATACAATATCATTCTTGTTACAGATTACTGGATTACGACCAAATGTTTGGAGGTCTTGTAAATGATCCTGAGTCAACATATGCGATGGATATCCCTAGTATTGAATTTAACGACATTAATAGTGACACACAGTTACCCAAGTTAACAGAGGACTCGTTAAAAGTTTATAGTGAACTAGGAGAGCGAAACAACCTCAAAACTTCTGAAAATATGTACAATTAGAAGTACTTGTTGGTAGTTAGGGCAGCAAATTTTAACGACGATTATTATATAAAAGGTATTTGTGCTGCTGAAATGAAAAAAAATGTTACCTATAATGTAGCAATAAAATTTCAAGATGATTTAATACTACTACTACTACTGGTGCTGATGAATGCAATTGTAGATTTTAATAAAACCAACAGAATAAAAGTTCAAAATAGCCCAACAGCAGAATTGCAAGCGTTTCATATGCCAGCAAAATTATATACAGGGAATCCCATATTGGCTAAAGATCTATGTTTGAGAAAAAAAAGTAAATTAGAGGTCATCAACAATTTTGAGCCAAGAACGATTTTTCCCACTAAAGATGAATATATTAAAAATTTTAAATCAAAGTTGCAAAATTTTGTGAGAACTAGTAGATCAAAAATGCCTATTTCTCAAATTATCAAAGCAGCAAATAAAATGGCTGTTTTCAAAGAACATGACTACATGCAGACTACAGCAGAAGACATGTATGTACAAAGTCTTCAGCTTTCTGAAGACAACTTAAACAAATTAGAAAAGAAAACAATTTATGATAAAAAATTATGGCGTCAGGAGAGACTTTATAGAATCACAAGCACGAAATTTGGAAGCATATGTAAATGTGTCAGGGCATTCAAAAACACTGCTAAACGGTTGTTGAAGCAGGAAAATGTGGTGACACCTTCTATAAAGCATAGTATTAAGTTTGAAAAACATACACTAAAGAAAGCTGAGAAATGTGGACTGAAAATTGAAAAGTGTGGAATCTTCATTTACCCACTATTTTCAATTTCTTGCAAGCACTCCTGATGATATTGTGGATACCAATGCTGTGGTTGAGACAAAGTGTCCGTTTACTGCCAAAGGTAAACTGATTAACACAGAGACAGTACCATACATCTATTTGTGTGAAGAGACAGGACATTGGAAATTAAATAGATCACATGATTATTTTTACCAAGTTCAGGGGCAGCTTTTATGTACTAGGCGCGAAATATGCTATTTCTGTATATCGTCACCTTAGATCGTTTACTGCGAAACTCCATTTTTGGCCAAAGTAAGTATTTGGTATCATTTGGTTCGTTATTCTAAAACGCGTCTTATTATCAAGGACATAAAATTTACAAAATAAAACTGAAGGCACACAACAACAATTCGTATACTTCGTAATTCCAGTCCGCCATTTTGTAACGGCCGAACATCGCACCTCCCCCCGCTTCAGTATTACACGTGACGTGGACGAGGTTATACGTCAATTTAAGTTCAATCTGGAGTTAATAAAATTGTGTTATTGTGTCTGAGGTAAGGTTTTTTGCATATTTACTATTAGTTTAATAAATACTAATTACGTACTTTACGGTGAGTTGCACAAACGTCCATTAAGGTTAAATGGCGTCATTAAGCTCTAATGAATGTCAAATTTGTATGGGTAATGTCGCTTTAAACTAATGATAATTTTAATGGACGTTTGTGCAACTGGCTGATAATGTTCTAGACGAATTACACTAATTGTAGCTTAATTAAACTCTTCTGTGGAGTTAAGTAGTTGACGAATTAATAAATCTGGTTATTATCAAACTCTTCTGTGGAGTTAAGTGGTTCACGAATTAATAAATCTGATTATTTTGTAGGAGTTAGTAAGAACTAGCTTGTATTTTTCTGTAATAATTAAGCTTTTTCTTTCTAGGCAAACAACATTGGAACCTATCTTCAATAATATTAACCAATCAAGTAAGTTCCTAGGTACCTAAACAATATTCTTGTATGCTTAGAATGATAGCTACATACTTTTACACAGCATGTTTTTGACATGAGTCATTGGGATCTACCTCCAGCGGTCCACCCCTGGTATGGACTCCACAGCAGTAGTAGGATCGGTAAAGGTAAACTCGGGTCGCAAGTACCTTCTCTTCCGCCGAAGTCTGACGCCATAACATTTTCTATGTTCCGTCTGTGTATGGAAGTTCTAGAACCTCCGGGCTTCTTATAAATACAAAAATATAATTACCTATACCTAAAACATTTATTAATTTATGGTTAAGATATTGTTCATAGTCTACAGTCATTTCATTTGCTTGGTTTCAGAATGAAATTTCAATATAAAGGACGTATTAAAAAAATATTCGAGAACTTTGAAAGTACGGACACCCATCAGTCCTCTAAGAAGGACGTCATTGAAGAGACCAATTATGTCGTCAATTATGATGGCAGTTTATCTTTAGAAGCAGAAAAACCTACTACTAAAACTTTAGTAGGCAATTCTAAAAATATAATGCTTACTTAAGACAAAGACATGATATTATTTAACCCTTGTACTTCTGATAAAAATATGTTACGTAACATCGAACCCCAACCTTGTTCACCAATATTTTCAGTTTCATCCAATTTGATAAATTTAAACAGGTTAAGCCCAATAGTCACAACATTATTAGATGATGATACACGTGATTGCGAAGACACTGTAACACGACCCAATTTAGAACCAAGTGATGCTACTACAAGTTTTTTTTTTCTTTTATTATCAAGTAAACAAACATATACATAACAAACAATTTAAGATAACATCTAAAAACCACTGAGGTTTGAGTTGTGTTATCAGAGTTTACAACTTGTTTTTATTTTCGTAATTATAAAATCAGATGCAACATATTATTACAAATACGAACATTACAATTAATAGACGGTTACAATAATAGCCTTAAATGATTTACAATGTATTAAAAAAGTACCTCTTTAACTTGTATTTAATATTTTTTTTGGATATGCTGTCTTTTAATTCTGACGGTAAGTCATTATTAAGTCGAGGCATAAGGTAGGTAGTTGTTCGCTCACCGTAGGCATTGTTTGCTCGCGGCTCGTAGAGTTATTTGTTAGCAATCGCCCGAGTATATACAGGTGTGCAACTGGGACCCTCAAATCATCATTAAAGAATTGTTCTTTGAGTAAGGTGTATTGTACCTATTCAGGTACTGTCAAACCCTACCAATACATATTCATGTATTGGTAGGGTTTGACAGTGTTTAAAGATACCATTTGCATTATTCTCATAAGTCTTTTTAATCTTTTTAGAAAGTATAGTTTTAAGTATTTTTAGTTTAAGATTATTAATATGATTAAGGTAAGATTTGTACGTCCGCCTATAACTGCTGAGACCATACTGAATGTATGACTCTGCAAGTGAATTATTTAAAATTAATTTGACTTAAAATGGAATACGATCTTTAAGAATAATGTTTGCGAAAAACTGTCTTAATTTAGTGCATACATGTTCAACATGATGAATCCAATTAAATTTACTGTCTGTTATTAATCCTAGATATTTTTGTTTATCGACTGTATCCACTGATGGACAATGGCATACATTACTATTGTGTAAGCAGTTGTGGTTGTGGATTACAAGTTTTTTAATTTGTACTTCTATGACATAAAGCGACTTTATACAACAGTTTAGTCTTGCTAGCATTAATGACCAGTCCTGCATCATGGCACCATTTTGTTAGCGCATTCAAATCAGACTGTAGAAGATCACAGATCGTTTGTGGATATTCACCGCCGATTACAAGGCAGGTATCATCTGAAAACTGATAACACGAACTGTTCACAATACAGCTACTCATATCATTAACATATGTTAGAAAGTGCAAGGGTCCGAGTACCGAACCCTGCGCTGTGCCCTCCGTCACAGGTATGATATTACTAAAGTTATTATCTATTTTGACCGAAAAAGATCTGTTTTTTAAATAATTTTCGCATCAATTTAGTAGAGGCCTACGTACTCCACAATTATCAAGCTTGTTTATCAGTTGATCATGTATCAAGGTGTTAAAGGCACACGAAAAATCTATAAATAAGGCCAGAACGTGTTTTTTTTTATTAAGATGGTAATTTACTTCATCTGTGAATTTAGATAAAAGACCTGCTGTGCTCTTACCTGATTGGAAACCAAACTGATTCTGATAAATGACATTATGTTTTTTATAAAATCTGTGTATTTGTTCGTTAATACATTTTTCTACAATTTTGTCAATTGAGGAAAGCAAGGTTATTGGGCGATAATTAGCATAATCGTCCCGCTTCCCTTTTTTATAGACAGGTCTTACACATCCAACTTTCAGTGCATCGGGATATATCCCAGTTCTAATACTACTATTAATTAAGTTGGCAATTGTTGGAGATATGTACTGCCCTATAAGTTTAATATCTGAAATTGTGATATTGTCGAGCCCCGGTGCTTTACGAGGGTCAAACTGAAAGTTCTTAGAAAATCAAAAACTGATTACATTAGCCAGTTATTAGTTTTATTATATCTTTTCAAAATATTGTCCATTCACGTCAATACACCGCTGCATGCGATGGAACCACTGGGAAAAGCACTTTGCCCACTCGTCCTTAGGGGTCTCTTCAATGGCATCGCGATACGCAGCCACCGCTTCTTCAGCATTCATGAACCGCTTTCCTTTAAGTTTTTCTTTAATTTTTGGAAATAAATAAAAATCACAAGGCGCGAGGTCGGGGCTATACGGCGGGTGACCCAGTAATTCAACGTTTGATGTCGCCAAATAGTCGATCGTTCGCTTGGCGGTGTGCGACGAGGCGTTGTCGTGGTGAAGGAGGATCCTACTGCGAGGTCGTTTCTCTCGAACTTTTTCCAAGACAAGTGGCAAACAATTGGTAGTGTACCATTCTGCAGAAACTGTTTTTTGATCCTCTAACACAATTGTTGCAAAATGACCTATCCTTCCAAAGAACGAGGCCACCATTTTTTTTCCCGCACTTCGATCTCTCTTCACTTTAGTTGGCAACTCCTCGAAAGGAAACACCCACTGAGCAGATTGTCTTTTGGTTTTAGGATCATAACAGTAAATCCAGCTTTCGTCACCTGTTAGTATGTCGAACACAGCATTTGAGTCACCTCCGTTAAATCTTTCAATCATTTTACGACACCAATCCACACGATGGAGTTTTTGAGCCTCAGTCAAATTATGAGGTATCCACCGGGCGCAAAGCTTCCTGACCGCTAAATGTTCGTGGAGGATTTTGTGCACTTGACTCATACCGATGCCTAAGCTTGTCCGAATCTGTTGATAGGTCACTCTTTTGTCAGTCTCTATCATACGCCGCACAACACAGATGTTATCTTCAGTCGTCGCCGTAGAAGGCCGTCCCTCACGTAAATCATCAGTGAGATTAGTGCGACCACGTTTAAACTCATTAAACCAGTTGTAAACAGTCGCACGAGATGGGGCTTCATCGTGAAAGGCCAATCGTAGTCTATCATAACTTTCTTGTTGACTTAAATGACATCGAAAGTCATAAAAAATCATTGCACGAAAATTTTCTCGTGTTAAATTCATGATGACGTGACACAGACAATTTTCAATTTGCCGCCAAATCGTAAAACAAATGACAAATGAATGAAATATATACTCAGTAATATTGGCAAAGAGTTATATTTTCAAATTTTAGAATTATTTTTTTATTATATTGTTTATAAGTGGCCAGTTCTAAGAACTTTCAGTTTGACCCTCGTATTAGGTTTTAAGCTTTTAATTATTTTATATATGCTATTAGCACTCGTGTTCTGAAATAAAATACTCGAATCGACAGGTTTAAAGTTACTATTTACATTTATTAATTTTACTTTACAGTTAGGGATTATATTTTTCACTCTTTTACTTAAAGTATCTGCAAATTTATTAGATATGGATTTAGGGTTGAGCCCCTGGGTACTAAATGCTTTTAGAATAGCTACATCTATAGATTGAGTACATCGTCCTAAAAGTTCATTAACAATAGCGTAAACCTTTTTAGTATTATGAAAATTATCATTAATTTCTTTCAAATAATGTGTATTTCTTTTATTTTCAATAATTTTATGTACTTTATTGCGTATTTCATTATACTCTAATCTTAAGTTAACATCGTTTGGCTGTTTTTTCCAGTTACAATACACCTTATTACGTTTAACACAAAGCATTTTAATATTATTACTCGTATCAACCCAAGGTGCACAAAATCCTCTTGAATACCTTTCAGTTATTTTAACAGTTTTAGTTTTTGTCGCCTTAACTTTTGCTTCATTAAATGTACTACGTATAAAGTTTAAAATTTCCTCGGGGGAGTTCATGCCTTCAGACTTTAACCATTCTACATTTTTTAGTAGTTTATACAACAAATCACGGTCAATTTTATTTTTTGTTACATATACATTTTGTTAGACAATACATCGATGATCAGCCAGTACAACATCGAGCGCCGCCGAGAACGGACTATGCAAGACATAGAAATTTTATTTTTTCTTTTTTCAATTCTTGTATAGTCGGTTATTCCACACATCAATCCGAGCTCACTGAGTGCCCCAACATATGCATCTTTGTGTGATGTTAAACTTTTTAAATCGATATTAATGTCACCAATAAGTAGGAAGTTTTTTTTTTCAAATCATAGCTGGAGATATGCTCACTCAACTCGTTAACAAACAAGTTTTTATTAGTATCTGGTGGTCTATAACTGTACAAACAACAGCGTTTTGTGTCGCATTTAATTTAATTGTACCAGTGAGACTTTCGTATGTTATTGATGTATTTTGAGTCGGAGTAAACTTTAAATGATTTCGTACATAAATAATAATTCCCCTACCTTTTTTTTATTACGCAACTTTGAAAACATATTATAGCCTGTTATTTTATACAAATGAACGATATTATTTGAAATGCCAGCTTCCGTTAACATGATCATATCTAGGGGATAATTACAATTATGGATAATTTCCAGCAATTTGGGGAAGTTTTTTATTAATGACCTTAAAATTCAGATGCAAACAAGAAATGCTTATAAAAGTTTTTGGAGGTAACTGTGTGAAAAATACATTTGGATTAAGACAGTTAAATATTTCGTTAATTTGTTTACCCATTTTAGTTAATGTATAAAACAAAATGAATAAAGAACAATCAAAGAGTATTAATGTATGGATGTGCCCGATTGATTATTATAACATTCAGTTGAGTTCCTTTTTAATATTTCATTGATGTCATTTTCGGATCGTATATAATATATTTTACTGTTGCTATTTTTTCGAGCATATACCTTACCGTTCTTACACCACACATACTGACACGACTTATTTAATAAATTGACTTTAGCATTATATAAGAGCGATTTTTGATACTTTGTCAAGGCTTCTTGACAAAGTATCAAAAATCGCTCTTATAAAAATACGTTTGTCTGCCACATCCTTCAGCACATCTGGCACCACTTGTCCCACGGTTAGGTATTTGTCCTTACTAGCTTTAATCCACTGCTGTTGAAAAATCTTCGACT